GGGCCGACCAGCTCCACGAACAGGGCTTTCAGGTTGCAATCACGCGCGAGTACTGTGCTCAAGTGACGCAGAGGACACTGAACTTCTGATGGTAGCTCCCAGTCTGAAGCTCTCGGATCTCGCCCACCCGAGGCCGCCGACGGCTCTTGGCAGCGCACCCCCTGGTCACAATTGTCACCGAGGGTCGGTGGTGTGAGCCCGGCGGCATCACAGAGCTTCTGCTGGCTGGAACGGTGCAGCTGCTGAATGCGAGACCTTGCAATGAGTCATCCACGCTTTCGCCTCTGAGGGCTAGGGTAAAGGCAAACCTCTCTCATCGACCTGTGACAGCTGGAGAGATGTTTTGCAAACGTCTGAATGCCACCAGTGTCACATCAACACAACATGCGAGAGTCGTGTTGCAAACTGCTCATACACTGCAGTAACGATGCTCGTTGGACTACACTAAACCAGGATGCCAAGTCAATGCAGCTTCCAACTCAAGAGTGTTGCACAACTCAAAGGACAGATTGAGCAGCTTCATGGCCTCGTGCGACGCTATCTGCGATAGGTCCCCTGTAAGGCTCCCGCTGCAGTCGCGAAACGCACTCTCGATCCTGTCTCAGATTTCGGTCGGCCTGCCACGAGAAGTCACTTCCGTGCAAGTAGCGCGGATAGACTTGCCAGAAAGAGTCGCTCACGGTCGTGTTGTCACCGAACGTCACCCCGTACCACCTGAAAACCTGTGGGATCCGCGAGGCGGTGTATGGAACAGAACGGAGCACAAACGTGCACTGGGTCTTTATATCGAAGCCGCTCGCTCAACCTCCCTGACAGCTCCCCTCCAGTGCTCTATGCCTACACCACGTCGACAGTCTCCCCGATGGTGGGTTCCCGAGAAGGCAGCCTCCACGACTTTTCGGCGCAGATCCTCTGTTTTGGCCTTGGATTGGCTTCTCTCCTAGCCATTTCCGAGGCTGGGAATCATCCGCCCTCAGCGCCGGTTCTTATTGATGCCTTGCGAGTTGTGCATCTGTCGCAACCCTGAGCAACAGGCCAGCTGGGATTTCACCGCAGACTCCGCCTGACAGCTGAAGAACAAGAGCGAGAACTACGGTGTGCGCCACTGGGCACACACGCCTCTGTCAAGCGCCTCCGGACAGTGCGGTTCAGCTGGTTCACATGCGCCATCAGCTCCTTCGTCGTCGAAATTGGTTTCAGCCCGTGCGACCCGCGAAGCTTGCCGACAATCACTCGGTCTAGCAAAACCGGTGAAAAAAGCGAACTACTTCATGCTGCTCCTGCTCCCTTGCCACCTCCCGTCCGAATTCCTGCACAGCGACATGAGACTTGCAAACATCACCGCTTTGCAAGTTGCAGGGGCTCGAGCCTCTGCCTTCTGGCCTTCCCACAGTTCCAATGCAACGGCTGCCGCCTCCTCGGATGTCCATCAGGGCATGGCCATCATGGCCATAGCAGACACAGGCGCGGTGCATCACGGCCTGGACTTCGAGCGGCGACGACGTGACAAGGAGCTCCTGGAGCAGCTTCAGCCGCTCCCTCGCGACAAGGCACTCGGGAGGGATGTGTGGTGCGCTCTTCTTCTTCAGGCTCGCTCTCTTGCCTGTCATCAGCTCGGCCAACATGGCGCCGCTTTGCCTCAGAATGTCAAGATGCTGAGATCGGAGGGAACTGCACCGGCGCACAGCCCATATGGGCGCATGGCACAGATCCCATCGCGGCACACAGGACACTCGTCCGAACCCACGAACCTGGCACCATCAAGGGCAGCTTCGGGAAGGAGTTGCACGCGGCAACTCTAGAGCTGTGCGTGGCACAAACCACTGGTACGGGATATGTAGTAAGTACAGATACAGCAGGTACCGTATATGTTCTACGTGTGGAGCATGCGCCAGGCGATGCTATGTGCAGCTGCGTAAGTGGCAAGTCGGCACCAAAGCGAGGAACAGACACCTCAGTTCTATCCTTGCGCAACATCAGAGTAGCGGATTGCGCAGAGACACAGCACTCACAACAACATTGACTGTGTAATGCGAAACCCAGCAACCAAGCAAGCTGGACCACTCTTGCGCGTGCTCCTTGCACAGCAGGTGCCGGCAGCGGAGGAAGACCCCCTAAGTCGTGCAAAGCAGCACCCAATGCACATTAACGAAGGGATCCTTCGACGCTTACCCCAACTGCCGGAGCAGCCAGCCGACAATCACAGCATCCACAAGCTCCGGCCTCCTTTATGATTGCACCGCAGGTCTGGTGCTTGTTCACTGGAAAGTTGCATCGCAGCGTCGCGAACTCTTCCACCTTCCCCACCACGCTTTGCAAGACTTACTCGCTTCTCGCTACAACGCACCTCCTAAGCATGTCGCTCTTCTTGCCTGGTCGTCACTGACGCTTGGCTGAGCCATGGCAAGGCTTCGAGCACTTACAGTCACCGAATCGACTCATGTCAAGGAAACCACCTGAAGCTACTTCCGCTTCCACAGCTGCCGCAGCTTGTGTGCTGCTGCATGGCGTCACAAGATCCTAGCTCGTGCCTGCTCTGACTTGATCATGGCTGCGAGTTAGGAGGCTCGGGCTCGCCAATCTGTTCAGGCATGCAGTGCTGCCCAGCTGCGGGGCGGGTTTTCCTCTGTGCTCGTGATGGGTTCGCACCCCCTCCATGCCGGTGCCTCATTGTGCTCCGACCTCTGTCAGATGTTGAAGCCTTCCACGCTTGCAACGCTTCTGCCTTCAAACGCTAAGGTATGCAGCACTTGCCTTCTTCCGCTGATACTGTTTTGATTTCTGTACAACCAAGCAGATTGCCTCAAAAATACTACTTTGACACATTGCGCGTTACCCTTGACGGAGTGGGAAGAGTTTCAAGTGCAAGCATCCAGTGTGCTTTATCCTTCTGTACAAGCTTTGAGCTGCGAGAGGAGAGCGGCTGAAATGCCTGATAGTAGCGTGGTGCGGGTCGCAAGGGTAAAGAGTTGTGTCCCACTGTAGTTCTAGAGTCTGCCTCTCGCTGGCACGAAGGTGCCGCAGATTATAGTATATGCATTAATGTCCATTTCATTGAAACGTTCTAGCTCCCTCGGGATAATAGACACCTCACCAATGCTGGTGCCAAGACATAGCCCAGGCCTACGGACATGCCTTGCCGCAATGCCGCCCAAACGGAAATACCTATGTAGTTCTTCGGCTTGAAGTAGACCATCAAAGGCTGCTTCTCGGAGTGATGTTGCAGAAGGAAACTGCGCCACTGGTTGAAGGGCGAAGAACCCATGCAAGCCAAGAAGACAATCACGAAGAGGACCGAAGGCCTCACGTCCACTGCTAAAGGTGGACTGAGATAACTTCGGAGGATGCCGTAGGTCATGTCACGAAGGAGCGTAGGGAGGTAGGCTTCGTACAGCTTGCTCCACCGGACCGGAAGCTTCATTGACCGCCGATACAAGAGATTCGAGATGGGGAGGGTCACTGTGGCGAAAATTCCACCGGCAAGCATGCCTCCAGCAAATGGCGATGCCTGAGTAGTGGCCGCGGCGAAGATTGCCTCGAAGAACGGAAACTTTAGTAAATTCGCTATAAGCGTTGCCCGAAAGGACAACAGCACCACTTTTAACGTAATGTCGTGTGAGTTCTTGAAGAACACCTCCACTTCGGACAGCGTGGCCTGGCAGGCACTGGCAGGGTAAGTCCACGCGCACCTAAGCTTTCACGTCCAAACCACGTTCTTGCCTGGATGGTCGCGGCAACCATCCTGAGCACAATGCAAGTTGGGAGCTTCAAAGGTCCCGAGTGTCACCTTTGACCAAACTTTGACCTGCTCGCCCAAGCGTCCCTGCGCCCACGTAGGGCATCAGGCTTCGAAGGACGCAACGCGGCAGTGCCCGCTCCTGACGTACTGATCCGTGCGTGGATTTGGGCTGTCACCTGTTGCTCACAAAGGTTTCGCGGAATGCATCGAGCACTGACAGAGACACTCTGTGGACCGAACCCCACTAGAGTACACACGAATTCGATCCTTGTAGGCATTGAAGGCTTCAGTGCTGCCAGCGAAGGGCGGTGCTTGTGACCGCTCGGGGTTTAGTTGCGGACGAAAGGCCGTGGTGACCTGGAAATGAGACAGAAAGAAAAAGGATGAAACAAGCACAAGCTCTGCACCACACGTTGTGTTGCAAGGGCTTCTGTCGCCACTGATTCCTGAATGTAGAAGCTAAAAGTGAAACAAAAGTCAGCAAGGGTAATCACAGCCGTTGGACTTCATGCCGTCGGCATCTGCTTGCCGCATCCACTCTCGAGCGTAGCAAACCTTGGACCTGCTGTCTCTAGGAGTATCTTCGTGACTTGCTGGAGGCAAGGGGCTGTAAAGGTGCTCGAGCTGTTGTCCGCGTCCAAGAGCAGGGCAAGGACCCAAGCTGCACATAACAGTGTACACAGGTGAAGGTGTGTCCTCCGACGACCTCCGACCATGGCTCGGTACTCAAGGCATTGTCTGCCGCGCTCTCTGCGTACTTGGGCCTTGCGCCGGACTGGAACCCACAGATTCTGCGTTGCCTGTCCAAAACATGCTAGAGACAGAACTGCGTTTGTCCCAGTGCAACAGAACTGTGGCAAGCACAACTCTCCTGCCCAAGCAGGGTGCAATATCATGACCACATTGATCCATCCAGGGACTTGTTTATGTGCATTGGGATTGGAAGTGTTGCCCCAAGTCCCGACAAGCTTCCAACCTGCATCCTTTTTGGACTGGGAGTGTAAATAAGCTGCTCACCGTGACAGGCACCGACAGGAGGCCTCGGCTTGCATCTACTTCTGTGGTATCCAGACTTCGAACAGATGTCGAATAACAACAAGATGACAAATAGACTCGTGTGGCTGTCTCTTTCTACTCCGGAGAGACGGGGACGGTTGCATAAATCTCGAAGGAACAAAGCTCATGATGTCTTGGGCAACTGCTTTTTGAGCTGCAGCATCCAAGTCTGTGCGGCGCGGTGGTACAACTTCTTCAGGTTAAGTCATGTCTTACGGACATTGCGGCTGCTTGAGTGTCGCTTGACGTTGCAGGCTGCCAATGCTCGCTCTGTCGCACATGAGGCAGCTCTCAGCCTTGCGACAGCATCCTGTCTCTTTCTGGAGACCGCCTGCTTTCGCAATCCAGCAGACCTCTGTCGACCCATCGCTTCATGCAGTGCTTCAGCTGCGCGTCGTCGCTTCTTGCAGACACACGGATTCATCTGCAGCACTTGATCCTTGAAGGTGTCTGCGGCGAAGTGGCTGTGCCCAGAGCTCCCAGAGCCAGAGGCAGAGTGCCCCAGTCTCTGCAGCATCTTAAGCCACGCATCACGAAAGGGTTCCAAGCCTTTGCTCCGGGCCAGAAGTAGTTGCTGCCGCAGCGTGAGAACGTCCCCCAGGGGCAGAACAGGTGACGACACATGCCTTGATCCTAACCAGCGGGCCACATGAATGCTGAGATAGCTTCGGATTCCATACTTCTTTAAGAAGCAGTTCAAGCCCTGCTCTCCACTTAGACAATCACGAGGTCTCATGTTGACGACGGGCTCCCGCTCTAACTCTGCAAAAGCAGTGGCAAACGCCTCACAAAGCTCGGAGACTCCCTCGCTGGCGCTGGCGGCTTGAGGTGTGTTCATCATCACTAGCTGCCTCAGCCTCACCAGTAGTATGTGGTATTCCACTGCTGCTCGCGGCAAGGTGTAAGAGCTGTACAGCCGAATGTGTTCAAAGCTGATTTTGGCTCGGAAGAGCCCTTGCCGATTTTGCTGCAAGCCACAGGTCTTGGGCTCTGATGACTTGGTCCGCTTGGTCGGCTTCGGCCCAATTTTCGGAGAAGCCGAAGTCGCCGAGGCCTCATCAATGTCTGAAGCTTCGGGGGGCATTGATCGTCAGGAAGTTGGGGTGCTCTTGCGCTTGTGCTGCTGACAGGGACTGCCTTTGGAATGAGCCTTCAGCAACCTCAAACCCACAAGCATGCACCAAAACGTTGGGTTCCCATGGTTGGCATCCTCCTTCGTGTCGCGTGTGCTTCAGCTCCGCTGCTGGGAGTTAAACTGAAGGATCCAGGATTAAGCTTCGGGCTTCAAGCTGAAGGCCCGCTCGTCGTTGCTGAAACCAAGAAATCCAATAGAGCCCCAACCAGCTCCCTGCGTTGCCCTGTTTCGAACCTTCGGGCCTCCATGAACTTCAGCAGCTGCCAGCGCACCTCCGCACGGAAGCGTTGCGAACGTCAATGTCCCTCGAAACCGCACAACGCCATGAACCCCCCCGCAGCAACTTCCAAACTCTAACAACCTCTACATCAACGGTGCCCAGCAGAACGTGTTTGCAGGCCTCGGGGCTCAGTGCCCGGATACCCTCTTCACGGGGCTGGGGTGGCAGCCGCTGCAAAGCAGCCTGAAAATGAAACACCAGGCAAGGTTCTGAGGTTCGTCACCCATGTATGCGGTTCGAACTTAGAGAGTATGCCGTGGATTTACTCAAACACCCGTCTTGAAAAAATCTCCGATTCATCCCACATCAACCGCAAACTTAAGAGGGCGTCTTGGCAAGCACCAGAAACCTAAAATTCGATCAAGAGCCAACGTTGCAAGGTGGCTCAGACACAACAGCATGCCGTGATGTGATTGCTCCGCGAAGCATGCCCTGCATCAAACAATCCGCAGTGGTACGTGCAGCCAGGCGTCGCGGAGGCGTCTCAGTGCAGAGTGCAGCCGTGATGGCTCTCTCCTCCGGCTAAGCAGGGATGCTCGCCAAGGCATAAAGCGAATTCCAATCAGCTGCAGTCAGTCCTGCTTGAAAGAGAGCGTGGCTCAAGGCATCGCTGTGTGCGGGCCGGCAGGAGGTGCCTCAGCTGAAATGTGACGTCTTCAGCCCCACTTCAAAGGTTTCAGGAAAAGACGGGAAGGATCCCAAATCCAGCCAAGAATCTTCCCCAGTCGGTGAAGCGCTGCTGTATGCGGCGCTTCAGAGCTCGAGGCCAAGCCTTCCACTATCTTCAAAGGAGTCCGAGTCACTTCTAGAATCTGTTCTCACGCTGCAGTACTAGCATTGCTCATCCCACTTGCATCGCAAACACCATTAAAGGAACGGCACCTCTTCCTGGCAGCTCCCAGCTCAATGCCTCCACCCGGGCTTGAGGCTCGGGGCTTCGGGCGTCAATGAAAAGTTTCAGGATCAGTGGCTTCTTGACTGGAGGCCTTCGATCTCGGAAGCAATTCGTGCAGCAAACCAAATCCGAATCCCTGGCACAAGAGGCCGAACAGAAGCCCATCTTCGACATCTGAATAGGAAAATGTATATCCAGCAAAGTGCCAATGCAACCACTGAAAAGAAAGGACGTGAAAGCTGGCACCTCAAAAGCCGCCGCGCTTCGGCGAACGGCTGCGGCGCCTCAGGGACCGGGCTCTACGAACACCAAAAACGCTTGCAAAATCTCGAGCACGAAATGTGCGAACTTGCCATGTGTGACTTGAATTGGGTGTAGCAGCTCGGCGCTGGATTTTTGCTGGGCGCTGCAAGGACTGCGAAATCAGATCTGCTGCAAGGTGCGATGTGTGGTTGCGTTGAATATCTGCGGGCTTCTGCAGAAGCATGTCGCCCGTCCAGCAAGCGAATTGAACGCAAAAGGGTAGTTCTGTGGCTCCCTGTAAGATGCTGTCGCGATTTGAAACAGATTGCTGAGCCTGAAAGCCGTACCTCCAACGTCTGACACTTGTGCAAATCTGGCTTGATGCAAGATGTTTCACTTCCAGGAGCAACTTGGCCGCTCTTCTTCAAGTCCATGTGCTACTTGAGACCCGGAGGGAGGTGACGAAAGCTCTAGCTGCATGGCATGTGTTCACAGGTTGCATGCGCAGTTGAGGCATGCACTTTCAAGCCGCGCAACATGTCGCATTAGCTTCGTGAAACTTGACCTCATCAATCCCAGGTGGGATTCAACACTTGTCGGGGGCTCCCTGGATTCAACACTCTCGGGTCTTCCGTCACTGGAATTCAACACTCTCGGGTCTTCCGTCGCTGGAATTCAACACTCTCGGGTCTTCCGTC